TGAGTATTTAAAAAAAATTCCTTTTCAGTATTTTGTAATGCTTCAACATGTATTTTGAGCTTATTTCTGTTTATGTTGTTGTAATGTTCCTCAGCAGTTAACATCTATTGAAGCTTTTTTTTTGTTTGTTTGTTTTAATGAGACTGAGTCTCACTTTGTTGCCCAGTCTGGAGTGCAGTGGCACAATTTCAGCTCACTGTAACTTCCACCTCCTGGGTTCAAGCGATTTTCCTGCCTCAGCCTCCCAAGTAGCTCAGATTACAGGCACCTGCCACCACTCCTGGCTAATTTTTATATTATTAGTAGAGATGGGGTTTCCCCATTTTGGCCAGACTGGTCTCAAACTCCTGACCTCAGGTGATCCACCTGCCTCGGCCTCCCAAAGTGCTGTGATTACAGGTGTGAGCCACTATGCCAGGCCTGAATGTTTACTTTTAATTTTAATCTAAGTTTTAATTTAAATACTGATACTTGATTCAGTTATTGGAAAACTTTTTTTTTTTTTTGAGACGTAGTTTTGCTCTTTTTGCCCGGGCTGGAGTGCAGTGGCGTGATCTCGGCTCACTGCAGCCTCCATCTCTCGGGTTCAAGCAATTCTCCTGCCTCAGCCTCCTGAGTAGCTGGGATTACATGCATGGGCCACCATGCGCAGCTAATTTTGTATTTTTAGTAGAGATGGAGTTTCTCCATGTTGGTCAGGCTAGTCTCGAACTCCTGACCTCAGGTGATCCTCCCACCTCAGCTCGCAAAGTGCTGGGATTACAGGCGTGAGCCACTGCACCCGGCCAGTTTGCACCATTATGGGAGCACTTGCAGAGCCTGCCAACTGATAGTAGGGTGGAAAAGAAGAGGACAACTAGAAGAGAGTTCCTACACCACAAAGTAAACTTCGCTGGCTCTGCGAGGAGCAGGAAACCTGCATGATGAGAACAAGGACTGGGTGGCACTGCAGGAAATGCTCAATTCCAGTTTCACTTCCTGTGTTACCACTTTTTCTTTGCTGCAATTTCATCTTTGTTGGCCAATTCTCTTTTAATTTTCCATTTTTTGTATGTTCTATGTAAATGTAGTTTTTATGAACTAGAGAGTCTGACTTCATATTTGATCTTTGACTACTGACAGCTTTTAAACCCCACCTCTTCCCGCCCCTTCTGTCCCACACCTGGATGACTGATTTGAAAGCCCAGGTGCTTCCTCCTTTGGCTCTAAAGGCAAGTGCAAGCCACACAGGCCCCAGCATGTGCATTGGAGCCTTCACTTCTGCCCCACTCCTTGACCTTAATAACACCCAAAGCCAGTCTCTCCTCCCTGCTCTCAAGCCATTTTTTTTTTTCTTCTTTTTCTTTTTCTGGAGACAGGGTCTTATTGTGTCGCCCAGGCTGCAGTGCAGGGCCATGATCACAGCTCCCTGCAGCCTAGACCTCTGGGCTCAGGCAATCCTTCCAGCTCAGCCTCCCCAGTAGCTGGAACCACGGGGGTGTGCCACCATGCCTGGCTAATTTTTAAATTTTTTTTGTAGAGATGACAAGTGCCACTATGTTGCCCAAGCTGGTCTCAAAACTCCTAGGCTCAAGTGATCCTCTCTTGGCTTGGCCTCCCAAAATGCTGGGGTTACAGGCGTGAGCTGTTGCACCCAGACTCAAGCTATTTTTGAACCTGTTTGGGATTCATCCCTGTTCTCCCCCAGAAAGCCTCATGTGAGTCATAAGCCTTTACATATTCTCTCTGTGCGTGTGGGGCTGTCACCAGTTTTGAAAAACCAGGTTTTGGGTGGGGAATCTATCTCATATCTTTGGGTAATATCAAAGATAAACACAGCAGACGTTAAAGTGGTGAAAACATTTTATTCAGTAACCACTGACAGTAGGGGAAAGAGCTGAGCTCCATTCTGATTTGTGCAGTGATGATTGGGCTTTTTTTCTTTTTTTGATGGTTGGATATTTTATATCTTTTTTCCATTTTCTTCCCTTTTTTTTTTTTTTTTCCAAATACTCTCCACTGAATGTAGTCGATTGGTGATTTTAAAGGGGGAATGAGGGAGTATGGAGGGGTACGAGTGGGGGCTCAGTAGAGTTGTGGATGTGAAAAATTACAAGGGACCAGTGTAAATGTGATGAGGCCAGCGGTGTCTGCCTGCTGGCAATGATCAAAGTTAGGATTCTGTCCTCCCACAGAGACTGGGAGACAGAGGCCTTGTCTTTCCCAATCACTACATTTCAAAGCAGTGGCTCCTCGAGGAAGCAGTGTTCCTTGAGAAAGACACTTCTGAGCTGTAGGAGATACACACATGCATACACATACACAACGTGTATCACATAAACATCTCAAAGGGACAGAGGAAAGATTCATAATTGTAAGTCCTTTTTACTAAATGCTCTAAGAGAGGGCAGTCAGGGGCCTATGGTCCGATGTTGGCAAGAACAGTAAGTTACCCTGGCAGCACTGAGATTTCTCAGGCAGGCAGTTTAATGGTGGGGACTGGGGTCATCCTGGGAACACAGGCTATGCTACTAGAAACCATGCCAATTTGTCTCTCGGTGCAGAGTTTCAGATGGAGTTATGTGGGGAGAGTTCTGCAGTTCTCAGTAACCACAACATTGTATATCACTGGAAGGTGAAGCCCACACAACTACAGATGTTACTGTTTCTGAGTGAGCTGAATAACAAACTTACAGTGAGCAGTCACCAACAGACAGAAGTGATGTGACTGGTTACTGATCATGACATGCATTTGTTTTTTTTGTTTTGTTTTGTTTTTTACATGCATTTGTTATTAATATAATGATGTGTAGACTGAAGAGCTAGCAGCCAAGCCTGCACTTTATGCGAAGACTCACAGTTAATATACTGTGTACTTGAAATTTGAGTTGTGTTGTTGGGGGACTGGTGTTATTAAATCATGGTGACTGAAATTCGTGCATATTAGAACTGTACAAAGCAAGGGTTGCCTGATGAGTATAATGCTCTCATGTTTTATGGGAATTTATACAGATTTAAAACAACATGAATAAATATTTGAAAGTTGTATGTTATACACAAGGTTTGAAATAATGCAATTCTTTTAATATTTTAAAAAATTGTTAGGACTCAGATTTTCTTTTATCTCTTCTTTTTTTTTTTTTTTTGTTAGGGACGGAGTCTTGCTCTGTCGCCCAGGCTGAAGTAGAGTGCAGTGGCACGATCTCAGCTCATTGCAACCTCCACCTCCTGGGTTGAGGCAGTTCTTCTGCTCAGCCTCCTGAGTAGCTGGGAATACAGGTGCACGCCATCATGCCTGGCTCATATTTTGTGTTTTAGTAGAGATAGGGTTTCACCATGTTACCCAGGCTGGTCTCAAACTCCTGAGCTCAGGCAGTCCTCCCGCCTCAGTCTCCCAAAGTGGTAGGATTACAGGCGTGAGCCACTGCGCCTGGCCCTCGACTCACAGATTTTCAAAGTACTTTTGAACAGTAAGCCGAGGACAGTGTTTATTATGACTATACTGGTCTCCTTTCACTAGCTTACAAAATTTAACTCCATCACTTGTCAGTCTCCTACAAATGCCTTCTATGTGCTTTGAAACTTGTGAATGATCTGCTGATTTGTGCTATTTTAATATTCAATGCTGTTGAAAGAATAGTTTTTAAACCAAGTAATGCAAAAATTCATTTAGTGTAACATTAATGCTTGTGCTGTAAAACATGCTGGAAAATCGATAGCTCTGGAATAAACTTTGGATTTTTAATTAAAATTGATTTTGATGTACTTGATGCAGTTAAATTGGTAGAGACTAGTCTGAAAAGCTGAGAAAAGATAAAGCAGAATTAAAACAAAATTTCCCTTATTCGTAGAACCATGTCAAGAATGCATTCTCTCTACACCTATTCCAATGGGAACATTAGCACTTGATTATGCAGGGAGTGAATCATGCCAAGTCTTCACATACACATTGCTTCCATCACTGCTGTGCAGTGAGCCGTGACTGCGCCCCTGCACTCAAGCCTGGGCAACAGAGCCAGACCTTGTCTCAAAAAAAGTCGTCTAAGGGATACGAGGCTGTGTGTGATAGTCGTTTTCTTTTAGTTTGCACTTTTATTCACCCCCAAATTCTGTGTATTGCAAGTAAGTCTCAAATTTTGAGAAGCGACCACCATCCCATTGGCATTGTGATTACAGCTGCATCACAAAGCCGCTTTGCTTTCCGGAGGAATCCATGCGCCACGGGCTCTTTCGCTTTTCCATGCCTGCCGTGCAGGCGTCCTTTGCGGTCTTTTGTCTGCGACCAGGTCAACGCCTGACACGCCCCCGCCCAGCTAGAGGACGCGGGGCGGGGCGGGGCGAGGCGAGGGTTCGTAGCGGAGCCTGACGGGAAACAGCCCCCCTAGGTCCCTGGTGCGAGGCACGCCTGTGACAGCGACGGGCACTGCCGCGCATGCGCTGCCCATTTCCTGTAGTGGCAGGGCTGGGCCGCGGTCGGGTCACCTTTGGGGTCAAAGAGCACGCAGAGCCCGCGGGAGGGTGGGGCCGCGGCCTTGGCCCTTTGGTGCGTAGGAGACAGCGCGCCAGGCTGGCAGCAGGTCATGGGCGGCATTTGCCGCTCTTGTGCCAACGCTACTGCGCACCCTAGTGGGGACTATGGGGACGCTTCGCGCTCCAGAAGGGAGGCGGGCACCGCCCGCTCTAGCACAGCCCGGGACCTGGACCTCGGGGCTCACCGCTCTGCCTGCCCACTAAAAGCCCATTCGGCGGAAGTCCAGCGTTGCGTCATTACAGCACTGAGCGCCAGACATCGTTGCCAAGTATAATGCCAGCTCCGTTTTTTCCTGGGGCACTTGTAGTCAGGGTTTGTGGGCCCGCATTTAATAATAGAGGGCCCCAGGCCTCGTCTGAACCGTCCAGCCAATGTGTCCTCAGTCGTCTTAATGGATTTTTGAAGGACCAACCCGAGATTCTGGGGCACAGGGAGTCCCAAGACTTAGGGCCCTGATGTAAGCCCCAAATAAAATGATTTTGGCCCCTAGGGCCAGTTCCTAATTTCTGAAAACAGAGCAGCACTTGTGAGGTAGAGGAAGCATGGCCCACCTGAATGGAAACCTCTCACCAGAGTTTTCACAGCAGCAGAGGACGAGGCTGAGAAAGAACACGACCCAGATTTGCACGGAGAGATGCAATATGTAATGCTTGTCCTTCACAAGCCATCCCAGCTGACTCAACGGGAGTTGTGCTCCAGCTGTCAGAGAGGTGAGCTGGACCTAAGGCTAGGGTCAGGCTTGCCCAGGAAATGTCTCTCCATCTTCAGGGTTGAGAGAACCTGGTTGGGAGGGAAAGAAATGCTACCTACTTCTAAGAAAATTATTTTTTTTTTCTTTTGAGATGGAGTGTAGCAGTGTCGCCCAGGCTAGAGTGCAGTGGCACGATCTCGGCTCACTGTATTCTCTGCCTCCTGGGTTCAAGCGATTCTCCTGCCTCAGCCTCCCGAGTAGCTGAGATTACAGGCGCATGACACCACGCCTGGCTAATTTTTGTATTTTTAGTAGAGACAGGTTTTCCCCACGTTGGCCAGGTTGGTCTCGAACTCCTGACCTCAGGTGATCTGCGCACCTCCACCTCCCAAAGTATTGGGATTACAGGCGTGAGCCACCACTCCTGGCCAAGAAAATTCTGTCTTAAACACCCCAACGGCCTTTGAATTTTTCTGAATTATCTACTCTTTCCAGATCCTGAGCTCCCCGTGCTATGCCCGTTACCACAGTGGCCTTGAGAGATGTGGGTGCTTCCACCATGCTTACTCAGAAACTAGAGGAGGAAACAGCTTCCTGGATTACCAATTTCTGCCTGACATGAAAGATGAAAACCACTGAACTCCAGAGGGGTGAATGTCCAGGTCATCCCATTCATTAGGTATTCCAGAGGCTGAGGCAGGAGAATCCCTTGAGCTCGGAAGGCGGAGGTTGTAGCGAGCTGAGATGGAGCCACTGCACTCCAGCCTGGGTGACAGAGTGAGACTCCATCTCAAAAAAAAAAAAAAAAAAAAAGCCTAGCGTGGTGGCTCATGCCTGTAATCCCATCACTTTGGGAGGCCGAGGTGGGGGGGGTGAGGCTGCCGGATCACAAGGTCAGGAGTTCGAGACCAGCCTGGCCAACATAGTGAAACCCTGTCTCTACTGAAAATACAACAATAGCTGGGCATGGTGGTGCATGCCTGTAATCCTAGCTACTCCAGATGCTGAGGCAGGAGAATCGCCTAAACCCGGGAGGTAGAGGTTGCAGTGAGCTGAGATCGTGTCACTGCACTCCAACCTGGGCGACAGAGCAAGACTCCGTCTTGGGAAAAAAGAAAAGAATTTCTCATGAGACAGCTTGAACGTGCGAGTTGGAGGTTGCAGTGAGCCGAGATCATGCCACTGAACTCCAGCGTGGGCAACAGAGGGAGACTCCGCCTTAATTTAAAAAACAAACAAACAAAAAAGAATTCTTCATGAGACATTAAGATTTACAGCTCTTTGCTGGGCGCGGTAATCCCAGCACTTTGGGAGGCCGAGGCGAGCGGATCACGAGGTCAGGAGCTGGAGACCATCCTCGCTAACACGGTGAAACCCCATCTCTACTAAAAATACAAAAAATTAGCCAGGCATGGTGGTGGGCGCCTGTAGTCCCAGCTACTCGGGAGGCTGAGGCAGGTGAATGGGGTGAACCCGGGAGGCGGAGCTTGCAGTGAGCCGAGAACCCGCCACTGCACTCCAACCTTGGCAACAGAACTAGACTCAAAAGAGTTACGGCTCTTAGAATTTGTCTAGCAGGCTTTCCACTTTTTGCCAGTGTGAACCTAAAATATCTGAGATGGGCCTCAGTTAATTTAGAAACTTTATTTTGCCAAAGTTGAGGACATGCGCCTGTGACAGCCTTAGGAGATCCTGATCAGACATGCACCGATGTGGGCAGAGCACACTTTGGTTTCATACATTTTAGGGAGACTTGAGACATCAATCAATATATGTAAGATGAACATTGGTTCAGTCCGGAAAGGAAGGACAACTGGAAGCAAAGGTGGGACAACTTGGAGGGCAGGTGGCTTGCGGGATCTTAGGTAGGTAAGAGACAAATAGTTGCATTCTTTTGAGTTTCTGATTAGCCTCTTCAAAGGAGGCAATCAGTTTTGCATTTATCTCAGTGAGCAGAGGGGTGACTTTAAATAGAATGAGAGGCAGGCTTGCCCTTAGCAGTTCCCAGCTTGACTTTTCTCTTTAGCTTAGTGATTTTGGTGCCCCAAGATTTATTTTCCTTTCACACTGGAAAGCCCCTTAAAAAAAAAAAAAAAAAAAAGAGTTATTGGCATTGAAGTCTAAAAAACATTCTTTTTCCAGTTTTCCTGTAGATGGCTTAGTAGACAGTCTTCATTCTTTCAGTGAGTACCAGAAATCAGTGCAGTCTGCTGCCTGTAATTGAGTACTTCGTGCGGGTGGAGTACTCCAGTCAGTGCATTTCTAGGAATGGAGGCACCTTGGTCCCATAGACCTCTTTCTGATGGTCCTGCTTGATCCACGCATAGAAGCTGAGATAGCTGCGTGAAAGAATGGATTATATCACCTTCAGATAAACTCCTTAAATGTATGTATAGATTGTACAACAGCAAGGTTAAAGCTGTATTTTCTGGCAAGTATCTCCACATTTCCCTTTCTCATTTTGAACAACATGGCTTGCTGGTTCTGCCTGGTAGGGGTATCCAAATGTCGTGGATACTTTACTGCTTGCCTTAATTGAGCATTCTGTCCAGTTGATGCTCATGTTTAATCTCCCTAGAATGTCTTCTCAGTTGGTTTCTGATCTATTCCTTCCTCTGTAATTATTTCTTTTCTGTCTTGTCAGTGAAGTCTTCTTCCTCTTCCTGCCTCTCATTATTGCTGTTTCCAAGGTATCTAGTCTCTCTCTCTTCCTCTCTCTCTCTCTGTCTCTCTTTCTCTCTTTTCTTTCTTCTTTTTTTTTTTTAGGCATAGTCCCACTTTGTCACCCAGGCTAGAGTGCAGTGGCATGGTCTTGGCTCCCTTCATCCTCTGCCTCCCAGGTTCAAGTGACCCTCCTGCCTCAGCCTCCCGAGTAGCTGGGACTATAGGCATATGCTACTACACCCAGCTAATTTTTGCACTTTTAGTAGAGACGGGGTTTCGCCATGTTGGCCAGGCTGGTCTCGAACTCCTGACCTCAGGTGATCCACCCACCTTGGCCCCCCAAAATGCTGGGATTACAGGAGTGAGCCACTGCACCTGGCCCTTGGTTTGCTGAGACTTTTTATCATCCAGTGGGTACTGAATTTGAACTTTTTAAGAAAAATTTTTAAGTCGGGTCTCACTCTGTCACCCAGTCTGGAGTGCAGTGGTGCGATCACAGCTCATTGCAATCCTCTGACTTTAGTCTCCCAGGTAGCTGGAACTACAGGTGCACCACAATGCCTGACTAATTTTTTTATTTTTTCTACAGACAGGGTTTTGCCATGTTGCTCGGGCTGTGAGTTTAATCATTATTATTATTATTATTTTTTTTTTTCTGAGACAGAGTCTCGCTCTGTCGTCCATGCTGGAGTGCAGTGGCTCAATCTCGGCTCACTGCAAGCTCTGCCTCCTGTGTTCACAACATTCTCCTGCCTCAGCCTCCCGAGTAGCTGGGACTACAGGCGCCCGCCACCACGCCTGGCTAATTTTTATATTTTTAGTAGAGATGGGGTTTCACCGTGTTAGCCAGGATGGTCTCGATCTCCTGACCTCATGATCTGCCTGCCTCGGCCTCCCAAAGTGCTGGGATTACAAGCGTGAGCCACTGCATCCGGCCGTTTAATTATTATTATTTGTTTTTAGCTAATAGACCAGAAGAATGAATTTAATTATTGAGATGATTATATTGTTTTCTTCTTTTTCAGTGGATTGATTGATATTAACCTATGGATCGAGTTAATTTTGTTAATGTTTTGATTTTCAAATGTTAAACCAGCCTATTTTCCAGGAACAAAGTTATATTGTTGTTTTATCCTTTTAAAATATATTCCATGACAAATTGTTAGATATTTTTGTGTCTTTGTTTCTGAAAGAGTCTGTTGTTTTCTTTCTTTTTTTTTTTTTGAGACCAAGTCTTGCTCTGTCACCCAGGCTGGAGTGCAGTGGCATGATTTCAGCTCATGGCAACCTCTGCCTCCTTGGTTCAAGTGATTCTCATACCTCAGCCTCCTGAGTAGCTGAGATTACAGGCATCTGCCACCATGCGCAGCTAATTTTTTATATTTTTAGTAGACACGGGGTTTCGCCATCTTGACCAGGCTAGTCTTGAACTCCTGACCTCAGATGCCATCCACCTCAGCCTCCCAAAGTGTCGAGATTACAGGTATGAGCCACCACGCCTGGCTGTTATTTTCCTTTCTTAAAAGTCTTTTTTTTTTTTTGAGACAGAGTCTCACCCTATTGCCTAGTCTGAAGTGTAGTGGCGCTATCTCAGCTTACTGCAACCTTCGCCTCCTGGGTTCAAGCGATTCTTGTGCCTCTGCCTCCCAAGTAGCTGAGATTACAGGCATGCACCACCAGGACTGGCTAATTTTTGTATTTTTAGAGAGACACAGTTTCACTGTGTTGGCCTGGCTGGCTTAAACTCCTGTCCTCCAGTGATCTGCCCATCTTGGCCTCCCAAAATGCTGGGATAACAGGCGTGAGCTGTCAAACCTGGCCTCTTCTAATATTTATTTATTTATTTTTTGAGACGGAGTTTCACCGTTGTTGCCTAGACTGGAGTGCAGTCGTGCGATCTCTGCTCACTGCAACCTCCACCTCCCCGGTTCAAGCGATTCTCCTGCCTCAGCCTCCTGAGTAACTGGGATTACAGGGGTTAGCCATCACGCCCGTCTACTTTTTGTATTTTATAGTAGAAACAGGGTTTCACCATGTTTGTCAGGCTGGTCTCAAACTCCTGACCTCAGGTGATCTGCCTGCCTCGGCCTCCCAAAGTGTTGGGATTACAGGTGCGAGCCAACGTGCCCAGCCCAGCCTTTTGTTTTTTTGAGACAAAAACCAAAACTTGCTCTGTTTTGTTTTTGCTCTGTTTGTAACTTGCTCTGTTACCAGGCTGGAGTGCAGTGGTGTGATGATCATAACTCACCTCTCCCTTGAACTCCTGGGCTCAAGCAATCCTCTGATCTCAGCCTCCTGAGTAGGTGGGACTACAGGCATGTACCATAATGCCTGGCTAATTTTTTGTATTTTTTTTAGAGATGGTGTTTTGGTATGTTGCCCAGGCTGGTCTTGAACTCCTGGGCCCAAGTGATCCTCCTGCCTTGGCCTCCCAAAACGTTGGGATTACAGGTATGAGCCACTGCCCCTGGCCTTTGTTAGGTGTTTATATTAATTTTATGCCTGTTTCAGAAAATATGTTTAGTATTTTCTCTTTATTCTCCATAAGTGCTTGTGTAAGTTTGGTGCTATTTATTCCTTATTGCTTGTAAAATTATAGCAGTGAATTTTTCTAGGGTCTGGCTTTTCTTTATGAATAGTTTTAAAATTATAGATTTAATTTCTTTATATTAGGGAAATTATCCTTTAGAACTTGATACAAGTCCAAGTTGTTTCTTTCTACCTTGTCATTTGTCATCCCCAGGTGGGTGGCAGGTGTGTTTGTTCCAGGGCAAAGCTATGTCTCACACACACTAATTCACATAACCCCATTCAGACCAAAACTTGTTCACAGTTTACTTTGCTTTTTGTCTCTTTATCTCCAAGGTTGGTCTGTAGGGAACTCAAAGCCTTAAGGCTATCCCAGTCCTTAAGGCTATCCCAGCAGTGACCTCTAGTGGTGAAATCTTCAGTCTTCCTCTTAACATGACTTTCTTTTTAAAAAATT